AGGATTCAGAATTCAGCTGAATTCATCGAAGACCCCCGAGACCCCCCGTCCGAAAAAACATACCAACATATGAATTCAGAATTCAATTGAATTCATCGAAGTGAATAGTTTCGAAGATTCCCTAGCCCCTCATTTGTTTTTGAAATGACGGGTCATTTTTTTGGGTAGAATTCAGATTGAAATCATATACCCCATTGTATGTCACATTATTCATGAATACATAGATATCTAAAATGATTAATTTACCCTATAATTATATTTCAATTTAGTTCGACGTTGTGAATTACTGCATATGAATAATATGGTTGTTTTACTGCAGTTATATAATATGTTTTCCATCAATGAATATCCTTTATTATTGTAATGGCTACAAAATAAAAATTGCGTTTGATTGATGACTACAATGTTGAAGAATAACTAATGTGGAAAAGCATATTTTCTATCCATTACTGGTTTCTTCGCATTATAATATCTCAGTGTCGGGAAGTAAGTCGCTCCAAACAGAGTATATGCGAGAGAGTATGTTTTTGAATAAGTTTGTTGATTTATTAGAAATATTTTCTTTTATTCGTGAAGTTTTGATTATTCAGTGTCATTTAAGATGTAAGACACTGAACTATATGGCATATACTATTTTGTGCAGTCTATCATTCTCATGATATGGATTTGAATCAATTGGTTGAATTTCAGTACCATCATCAAATTTAGCTATTTTTGTTTTCCTTTTANGTGATAGACCCTATCACTGTACAAGTAAGAACCAGATAACGACACTATATCGATAAAATCGATGACCTGCTTACGTTTTCCACTTGCACCTGATGCATTACGGTATAATGGCAGAAAAGTCCAGAAATAGACAGAGCAATACTCTTTTATTAAAAAAATCAACAGTTATGTCGTGTTTCACATTTTAATTCCGAAGGGATTGCGCTAACAGCTTTTCTATTGGTGAAGTATATACACCACTCTGCTTTCAATGATAGTTAACTCTTTTTCGACTTATTTAGTGTTTTATCTGATAAAAAGCTTTCCACCCAAAAATTTGAACTAGTTTTTTGGTCAATGGACGTTGAGATCATAATTGAAAATGATCATGAAAGTTTAATAACAACAACAATTCTAAAGTCAAAGGAAAATAAAAATGTGAAAGTTGTACCAAGTGCTTGCGAAAGGAAGAAAAAGAAAGGTGTCTTTAACCCACAATGGTTACTTGATTCTCAAGTCAGTTCATTTTTACGAGAGTACAAGTTGGATTCAACTAAAATTCTTTGCATTGCTTGCAACGAAACATTTTCAATCCATTATAAGGGAAAAAAATGATATTGATCGGCATATAAAGTTAAAAAGACACATCAACAACATGAAATCATTCACTATCAATCGACAATTGATAACATCAACAATGAAACCAAACAAAGAGATTGAAGAAACAGCAGCGGCGGAAGGCGCTTTTGTTTATCATGGAGTGAAACACGGACATTCTTATTTATCACAACAATGCACCACAAATGTCCTCAAAACAACTTTTTCGTCTTCTTCTGCAATTGCAAAATCAATGTCTTGCGGACGAACAAAGTGTAATTCGATTCCAGTCAATGTTTTAGCTCCATATTTTACTCAAAAAGTTTTAACTGAAGTAAAAGAAGCATATTTTTATTCTATAATGTTTGATGCCTCGAATAAAGGCAATACAAAATTTTTTCCAGTTTGTGTACAATATTTTTCAAAAATTGGAGTGAAAAAAGGTTGTAATTCGCTATTTAAGCTTTTTTGTATGCGCGCTAATATTTAGTTTTTGTATGCTTAATAGGTATTATCGATCTGATCGATGATGCTGATGAATCAGCAACGAATATCTTTGAGAATCTTATGACTGTAATTAAAAAATCTGGTTTCCCATTCGATGGTCTTACATCGATCGGAGCTGATAATACTAATGTGAATATGGGTAATGATCATAGTGTTTATACATTATTTAACAATGAAATTGAAAATCTATTTAAAGGTAAACTAAGTTAAAAGATGATTTTACTTCTCTTCATTTTATAGTTGATTCATTAAGGAAACTGTTACTGTCATATATTGCACAATGGGGTGAAGTGGGTTCATCAGCAGTTGACTGTCGATATTGAGAAATTTCTTATGATGACCTATGCTCATTGTTCACGTTCAGCCAAGAGAATTGAAGAACTAAAGAGTTATTATGAATTTTACGAACAGGATTTTCATGTAAGCTTTCTTTCCACAAAGGTTTTATTCAATGAAGAATTGATGGTATTTTCTTATAACGCTTTCCAGGTTTTGCTAAAGCACATAAAAATTCGATGGCTATCGTTGTATTCATCAATTGAACGCTTATTACTTGTTTACAAATCAGTAAAGAACTATTTCACCGACCAATTAAACAAGGAAATTCCTAAAGAATTAGAAAAGCATTATCAATCTGAAGAAACATTATGTGTTTTATCATTCTTGCATCATGTTCTTTTTGAGATCCAAAAACCTAATTTGGAGTTACAAAAAAAATGTATTACAGCAATTGATTTAAATCGAATAATTATATCGCTTCAATACAAATTAAAACAACGTTTGGACACAGGTCTTTTTGGAATTCATTGTCGACAAATATTAAATCGAATACCATCTAATACTAGCATCGAACTACAAGCTTCGTTCGTACGATTCATCTCGAAATTTTTGGAGTATGTTGACAAATATTTCTCCCAAAATGTTGCTATTCTCGAAGCTATTGGGCATTTCGGTAATGGAATTGAAAATCTTACTTAGGATCATATTCAAAAATGTATCGAACTTACAAAAAATCGAACGTTTAAACGAAGATAATTTGCTCAATGAGTTTACAGAATTGAAATTGACATTCGAAATCATCAAGAAGAAACAAGTACCATTGTTTGACCAGACTCAATTTTTTTCTTTCTAACGAGCAAGAAAAAAATACAAATACTTCATTACGGATGACAATTCGACAAAACGAGATGGACGAAGAAGATGAGGAAGATCAAACAAAAGTGATCCGATCAGACCAATTATGGGCCATGTTATTTGTTGTAAATGCAACACCAACACCAAACATGAAGAAGTTAATTTGTTTTTTGTACTCGACTCCAGCTAGTAATGCCTATGTAGAATGCGTTTTTTCGGATATGAAGCATTTACTAAATGATTCTCGTAACCGTATGTCAGTCGAATCAATAGCTGCTGAATTGCAAATTCGTCGAAATGGCTCAATATCATGTATTGATATGCATAAATATTTATTGTCGCAAAAAGAGTTATTGAAAGCAATTAGTTCTAATAACAAATATACATTCAAAAAATAGTGTATTGATTAAAATTTAGTTTTTTATGTTATTTTCTATGTTTTGATTTGAAATGCTATAAAAATAAAAAAAGTAGTGCCATAGATACGAAAAAAATATCTAAAATCCTTAGAAGTATATAAAATATGCAACAATTTACATTTCCACTTTTTCATCCGCTTTTTGCTATTTTTTTCCGCTATTTTCCGCTTTTCGAACTCCAGCAGGTGGTAGCCCTGACCATGCTGCAAAAGACAAACTCGTTTTTTTCTAAAATTCTCCTTTTTCTTTTGAAAATTAAGATGATGAATAGGTTGTTGATGTCATCTTTTCCAATGAGAACGATCTGTTTATGTACACTATAAAATCACATTACGTTTTCCCGCATATTACTTTTCGATGAGTAGCACTCTCAATATTCAATAAACTCGAGAGAATATAAATGAATGGACTTCTTTTTTTGCAAACGGATTCTTCACAACTATGTGTATGTTCGTAGCGATTGTGTTTGTTTTATCCGTCATTATTGAGCATTTATATTTTTTAACGGAGAATGAAAATATTTAATTTGTTCTAAAAATGGAAAGTTTATTTTCGATGTTGATAATACCATGGAAGATAAAATTAGTGTACTTACATTGTCTAGATTTAGTGTGCCAAGAAGTACGTCCGCGTAAAGAACTAGATTAGATAGGGGTTATATGAACCGCCGGACGTCCA